GTCGTCGTCGTTGTCGTCGTTGTTGTTGTTGTTGTTGTTGTTGTTGTTGTTGTTGTTGTTGTTGTTGTTGTTGCTGCTGCTGCTGCTGTTGTTGTTGTTGTTGTTGTCCCACCATGTTTCAGGAACGACGGAGGCTGGAAGCTTTTCGGCCCGAGGTTGATGCAGCGGAACTTGGTCTCTGTGTCGTCCGGTCTGTCTGTCACTTCGTTGCTTCTCCACCTGACTCGGTTTTTGGAAAGCTCCGACCCTCCCTTTCTCGTATAGCCCTTACCCTGACAGAGACAGCACACCGGAACGCCGGCCCGGCAACCAGCTGCCCGTTACCCCTGCGACGAACTCTCCTGCTGCTGTGGAACGAGCCCCGCTTACAGCCTGGAACCCTGTGGTACCCGAGGTCTCTGCTGCAGAGCGAGCTGCGGCTTGCCGTGAGATCGGCCTCTTCCTGAGGCGCGCCGTCAGTGGCCAGCACCGGGGTGCGAGCGGGAGAGATCGGTTAAGCCAGCAGTCTAGGCTGTGGTTGGTGGTGCGAGACTTCGACGGTGAGGTTAAGCATCCCGTTGTGGTTCTTCACAGGTTCAGCGAGTGTGCCCAGATTTGCAAAAGGGGTTCCGACTGCAGGGACTCCGTCTTCGTGGGATTGCCTGCGCGAAGGGACGTGATTGCGGGTGTGTGCTGCCGGCGACTTCCAGTTGCCAGCTTCTTGGTGAGATGGAGGAAGAAACTGCAGACCAGGACGGTGACCCTTTGAATGCCAGGGACGCCGCTGCAGTAGGAGACGGCTTCTTAGATCAACTATGTCCCCTCCTCGTGCTGCCTTGTGGGGAGGATGCAAACGGAGCGCCTGTGACAGTGCAAGCCTTGTGTGTGGGGGACGTCGGCGGCCGGCTGCTGGTTGCCCTTCCTGCTGCAGCGTGGCACCGCACTATCGCCCGACGAGCTGTCCCAAAGGGGTTCATCAGCCGAGTTTTCGGCGCCGAGGTTGCTGTGTGTTCCCGGAAAGACAGGGCCTCCGAGATCCCTGGCCAAACCATTCGTATATGGCTCGGCTTCTGCGAGAGCTCGGCCGAGGATACCCTAGAGGTCTCGGACGAGGACGTGACTGTACCCTTTGGTCTACTTCCCTCCGACAAGCCGCTTTTGCCCTTGGTCGACTCGTTGGCCGAGATTTGGCAGGTTCAGGTTGCACAGGCGCAGGCTACACCCTTGCAAACAGCTTCCGAAGGCCCTGCCCCGACAGGTCTCGATCAAAGGCTCCAAGTTTGGAGGCTACCGTGGCGACTCTGGCTGCCAGCCTTTCGGGGCCCGACCCTGCAAAAGCCGTGCCCAGCTCTCATGCCCAACCGCAGTTGGGGCTCCGACGGGCACCCAAAGCCGCCGCACCCAAGCCGGAGGCGGTTGTCGACGCCAACGCTGGGGTTTATCCGGGGTTAGACAAAGGGGTTGTTGCAGCAGCGCTGGCGGCCGGCGTCCATTCGCAAGCTTTGCAAGAGATGAGTCGGCTCGTCAGTGCCCCGGGACCGATGGGAAGGTTGAAACCGGAGCCGAAGCCGGCCCTGGTCGATGCGAGGCGAGACCCTTTGGAAGAGTCGGAGGACGAAGCACAGGCGGCAAACGAGCCGCAGGGAGCAGAGCACCCCGCAGGTGCTGGGTCGGGTCAGGCTTTGACTTCAAGCAGTTTCGCCGAAGCCCTTGCCTCCGCACTTGTAAAATGCCTGGACACTTTTCAGTCCCCCGGCTCTCAGAAGAAGGGCGCCTTGGAAAGAGCCCTCGATGCTACCGGCGGTGGGTCTCTCGACACCTCCTTGGGCGGGGGCAGAAGAAACTCTGCTGCCAGGCGCTTGCTCCGAGAAGCGCTGACTTCGTCTCCTCACGAGATATCGGCTATCATAGAGAATCTCATGGCGGAGGACTTGAGTGCCTCCACGCCGGGCATTGCCATCCCGCCTCTGACGAGCAGCCGTGCGTGGCTGGAGCACAGGAGCAAAGTGCAAGCCTTTCCGACCGTGGTTCACTTAGCATGGGCAATAGCCGGAGCTTTGGACTGCTTGCGGAACGGCCAGACCTCGCAGGCGAGAGCTCGGTTGAACGTTGCTCTGCTGCAAGCAGACCAGACCTCAGTGGACAAAGGAAACTGGCTACTCAGTCAAGAATTATCGCTGGAGCCGGCACCTCCGATGGCCTCGTTCCGGCGTCACGAGGCGGGACAGTCCTCGATAGAGGGGGTTTACAGCAAGCTGCTAGATCCGCGGTGGGCAGAGATTGCCTTGTCGCGGCTTCGAGACGAGGCCGATTTCCTGGAAAAACGCCATCGACTGTGGCAGCGGCAGACTCCCGGGCCCAGGGATGCGACAGAGCCTTGGACCGATGCCCCGCAGCCCCCGCGAAAGCCTCCTCGAAAGCCTCAGCCAAAAGCAGATGCATGAAACCGGAAGCCGGACGGCGAGCGCCTGGGGCTGATGCTCCCCCCCTCGCCTTGCCCGCTTTGTGGAATTCGCTGCCCCGGAAACTTTTGAAGAGCTCCGGGCCTTTCTCCTCTTTTCTTCGGTCTTCGCTTCGCTCGGGGGCTCAATTTGCCTCCACGCCCTACACCTGGCCTTGTCCCATGCCTTTTCCCGAAGCCTTCGCGGGCCGACCCGCACCGGGACTTTGGAAGAAAAGCCTTCTCAACCTTACGGTGGCGCAACTTAGCTACCTTTACCTCGGCTGCCCTGTTGACTGCCCTTCTTCGGTGCTCCTCGGCGTGCCCCTTAACCGGAGGCAGTGGAAAGCCGTGCGGGGCTTACGGCACTTGGTGTTCGGCAGCTTTTTTCCCTTGCGCTACGAGCCCTCTGACTACGGGCGAATAGGTCACAAGGTGGAAGGTCAGGACAAGGTCTTGCAGGCGCTCGGCCGGGCAGCCGCCTCAGTGTGTCACAGCTTGGGTGGCTACTTGCCGCGCTCCGTTGTGTCCGCTCCTGGCCCCTTTTCACCTACGCCACCTGCCGACGTCGTCGGCCTTTTGCCTGGCAAACCTGACGTGGCTGCTTTGCCTATCACGGCCGCCCGTGTGAAGCTACCGGCCCGTCCGGAATTTGACCCTGTATCATACATGGACAGCACCACACGAAGGAGTTCTTCTTGGAGCCCCTACGCCATGCACGAATCCCTCAACCGGGTGTCGACAAGCCACCTTTCGTGAAGATTTTGGCCGACTCCACCCAAAAGCTTCAGCTTCTCCAGAACCTCGCCAGGTCTGGCCGCCTCGAACCTTTGACTTCGGTGCCGCCTGAGCGTCTTGACTGGGGCGCGGGCCTTTTCTGTGTGGCCAAAAGTGAAACCAAGGATCGTCTGATTTTAGATGCGCGTCCTGCTAACGCCCTCGAGGATTTTCCCGGCCGCTGGGTCCATACTCTTGCATCTGCAGCCTGTCTCGGCGGGATCATCTTAAAGGAGGGCGAGGTTCTTCTCATGGCTGGCACTGATTTGGTGGACTGCTTTTACCAATTTCGTGTTCCGCCTCAGCGTGCCACCAGGAATCTGCTTGCCTGTGCCCTCACCACGAGTGAGGCTGCGTTCGTTTTCGAGCGCCCCGCTTCTGACTTTGGAGCTCCGGGCGCTGTGGTGCATTGCGGCCTTTCGTCGCTCGCAATGGGCGACTCTTCGGCTTGCGAGTTCGCTCAATGCAGCCACCTTGGTGTTTTGCTCCAAGGCCGAGCTTTGCAGGTGGGAGAGTTGATGGTCCAGGCTCAGGCGCCTCCTAGGGGGCTTCTTTCAGTTGGCTTGGTCATTGACGACCTCATCATATTGCAGCGCTGCCTTGCTGAGCAATTGCCGAAGTTTTCTGCAAAGCCTGGGACCTCTGCAGGCTCCCGCCGCTTGAGAGCAGCTCTTGAAGCTTATGACCTGGCCCACTTGCGGTACTCACCCGAGAAGACCTTTGAAGACAAGACGCAAGCCTCGTTTTGGGGGGTCGACTGCTGTGGCGTTTCAGGGTTGGTGAGGCCAAATTATCCTTCGAGATTTTGGCCGCTAGTGCTGATTACCACTCGTGTCATTCAGCTCGGCCTTGCCACCCGGTCGCTCCTCGAGTCTCTGGTCGGCTCTTGGGTTTCGGTCTTTATGGTCCGGCGGCGGCTCCTCAGCTTGGTGAACCTGTGCTTCCAAGTGCTTCGCGAAGGGTCTCCTCAGGCCATCCTGCGACTCAGCCCCGAGCTAAAAGCTGAACTTGCTTCGTTTGTTTGCCTGGGGCACCTGGCTGTGGTTGATTTGCGGGCCCCGGTCCTGCCCATAATCATCGCCACCGATGCGTCCAGCACTTGGCAGGCTGCTGTTGAAGCCCGTGTGGCACCGGAGGTGACAGAGGAGCTCTGGCGGCATACCGTGCAGCGTGGCTCCTGGACACGTCTTTTGTCACCGCAGGCCGCCTACCTTAAACAACGATGCCTTCTTGAGTCTGCTGATGAGCTGCCGGGGGAGGTGAGCTACTCCGCTCATCCTTTGGCTGAGGCCGCTGCGCGAGTGCCTGCTTACAGGTGCCTGTGGAGGCGCGAGTACCGCAATCGGGTGCACATCAATGTGGCCGAGTTGGGTGCCTATTTGCGCGAAGAAGCGAGAGTGGCCGGACGATATGTTGCATCCAGACCCTTGTTTGCTCTTGACTCGCAGGTGAGTCTGGGATGTTTGTGCAAGGGCAGGTCCTCCTCAGGTGTGTTAAACCGCATGCTGGCAGCTTCTCTTGCACCGCTGCTGAGCTCACGGGTCTTTCCGGGGCATCTCTTTTTCCCCTCATCCCTGAATCCTGCCGATGATCCCACGAGGCATCTCAGTGTAAGACCACCTTCCTGCCCAAAGCCTGCGTGGTGGGTTGCGTTAGAGGCCGGGGATGCTACGCTGCTTGAGGCCTTCCTTGCTGAGCACGACGGGGCCCCTGACTCCAATACTGGATGCCGTGGCAAGATTGTGCCTCCCGAGAGCGATCGCGAAGCTGACTTTAAACAGTCGGACCTTTTGGAGTTGGGCGGTTCGCGGCCCATCGTCACTCCAACTGCGAACGCGGGCTGAGCTCTTTGTCTCGGTTGCCTCCGCGCGCAAATTCCACTGGCACGCCCCCCGGCAAAGCGTTGTGCCTGCCTGTGCAAATGAACCCTGCCACTAGCTCCTCTGTCGCTCAGATCCTTGCCCGGTTTCCTGCTAGGCAGTTTGTGACGCTCTCGGGCGGTGCACTTGACCTTGACGTGCCTGGGGCCCTTGACTTGTTTGACTCGGATCGTGGTTTTGCGCGTGCTTTGGTTCGGCACGGCGCCCCTGGGGTGCTCACCTTCAACAGTGCCCGGTCTCCCGACGAGGACCTTGCTTCTCCAACACTTCGCGCCCTCCTAGAGTGGTTGCTGTCCCGCAAGGCCTTCAAAGTTTTTCGTGCAAAGCCTCCGGCTTCTTCTTTCTCCAGGGCTGTTGCCCGCCTGTCCGCTCTCGAGCTGAGCCGGCCGGTGCTGGGCATCTTTCGCCCGCTATGTTTCGCAAGGTTCATGCAGACAACCTTTTGAATCAGTGGCTCCTGCGTTGCTGCGACCTCGCTGTCCAAAGCGCGGCCGCTTACTCTGTTGAGGCTCCAGACTGCGCCTTCTTTTGGCTTATGCCCGGCTGGCAGTTTGAAGGCCGTCCAGGTTCGACCGGTACTTTCAGGGCTGATCTGTGTCAGTTTGGTTGCCTGTGGAGAAAGCGGACACGGGTGGCTACCAACTGTGCGCTTGCTTCGGCCAGGCTCCTTTGCACTAGCAAGGTGCGGCATCTCCGACTCCTTGGCTGGTCTTCCGCCCACCGCTTGCCCTGGTCTGCCGTTGCCGAGCACTACCCTGCGGGCTTCTCCGAAGCTCTGGCCCTCGGTCTCTGTTCCCACGCTGGCTGGACTTGCGCCAGGCCGTTGGACGCCAGTGCTTGTGCTAAGCTTGGGTCTTGCTGTCGCGTCGGCGAAGCCAAACACCCCGGGCCCCGGCGGCGTTACGGTTGCCAGCCACGCTCCAGCGGCGACTTGGAATTGCAATCCGCATCCTCGCTCTTCTTGGGCACTTCGGCCTGGACTTCTTTTCTCCTTTGGGTCTCCCTCTTCCTGTCCGTCGATCCTCTCGGTTTGTTCGCGTCCTGTCCAGTGCTAGCAGCCATGGCCCTCCGTGCTTATGGTAACCACTTGTACTGCTCAGGAGGAACCAAGCACACCTTTCGGTGTACCTTGGTCGGAGCCCAACGCGAACTGCCGCTGCTCAAAGGTTCTTTGACGCCGGCGTGGGAGCTGCTCTCGAGATGGGAAGCGGTCGAGCCGGTGGTGCACCGGACCCCGCTACCAGAACCTCTGCTGAAGGCAATGGTCGTGCTCAGCTGGCTTAAGGGTTTCAGGCGATGGGCGGCTTGCTCTCTGCTGGCCTTCTATGGGATGGCTCGCATTGGGAAGAGGTGCTTAAATGCCGGCGGGAGCATTTGATGCTCCCTGAGGACTTGTTCTACAACGTTGGAGCTGTTTTTCTACGCCTGGAAACCTCAAAGACTTCTCTGAGAGGCCGTCCCAAAGTGCAGCACATCCGTGTCGACAACGAGGATGCCATCGCCCTCATCGTCATCGCTTTTGGCAGCTTGGGAAAGAGTGAGCCTTTGTTTCCGTTGAGCCCTTCCGCCTACCGCTCTCGCTGGGACAAGTGTCTAAAGACCCTCGGCCTGGAAGGGCTGGTTGACGTCACACCTGGAGGTTTACGAGGCGGGGGTGCTGTTGCAGCTTACCATCGCGGTGCTGCAATAGCTGACATACAATGGAAACTGCGTCTGAAACACATGGGTACGCTTGAGCACTATCTCCAAGAAGTAGCTGCCCTAGCTGCCCTGGACAACGCTACGGACGACTCCAAGCTTTTGATTCGCTTTGCTCTGCAACTTTTTCCTTGTCTACGACATGGCTCGTGACGTCGCTACTGCAGTCTTCGACCCCAGTGCAGCTCCGAACGCGGCTGCTGCCTTTTCTTTGCAGTCTGGTTTTCGTGATGAGTGGAACAGGCATGCTTTCGATGCAGTCACTTGAACTTTGCTGAAGCTTCTGTGCTAAAGCACTCCTTTCTACGACTGTTTGCTGCCTCCGCCGACACGCTAAAGCTGCGTGACACGTACTTTTACCAGCAGCGGCGAAGCCCAAAAACAGGCGACACAGTGGGCTTAAACATGTTGTTGTTGTTGTTGTTGTTGTTGTTGTCGTTGTTGTTGTTGTTGTTGTTGTTGTCGTCGTCGTCGTGGTTGTTGTTGTTGTTGTTGTGGTCGTCGTCGTCGTCGTTGTTGTTGTCGTTGTGGTCGTCGTCGTCGTCGTCGTTGTTGTTGTTGTTGTTGTTGTCGTTGTCGTTGTCGTTGTCGTTGTTGTTGTCGTTTTCGTTGTTGTCGTTGTCGTTGTTGTTGTTGTTGTTGTTGCTGTTGTTGGTGTGGTGATGAGGGTTTAGGGGCTAGGGATAGGGTGATCATCATTGTTATCACAACGCAATGGTTTTTTCGTTCGAGTTGTCATTTCTGTTAATAGTATCATCAATATTATGAGTGGCCTTAACTTGTATTAGTGTTGCTATGGAAAGGCCATTTCTGTGGATTGTTTTTCTTGGCATGGGAACAGGATTCTTGTTCGAGTGCACTTTTTTTAACAGTCTTCATCTTTTTCTTATCGGTATTGACTATTGTATGTGTGGCAGGGTTTTTGTTGGCATACGATCGCCTGTGAGGGCTGAGAATAAGTTTCATACTTTGAATCTTTGGAGTCCAAGCCCGTCCGTTCATCGTGAACGCCTGAACCTACGCAATCAGCTCCGAAGGCGTAAACAGAGGAAGACTCAGTAGTGATGCGCCCTTACAGTGCCTACATCAATGTGGTGTTGTAGAAACCTGGTAACCCTACTCTAGCCATCAAGGCAACTATGTTGAAAGATATCGACTTTGTCGATGCTAAACTTCTAAACTCAAAAGAGCTTTGAGACCTAAGCCCAGGCGCCCTCGCACTATGGTTGGGAGCCAACCCTGAAACTTGGGGCTCACGGGTTACGGTTTTGTTTTCAGGGTTTAGGGTTTCGGGGTTTGAGCCTTCTGAGTCCAGCAACCAGGACCGGTAAAGACTCGCAATGGGGTGCCCGGCCAAAAGGTGGCTTAGGGTTTAGCCCCCCGCCATAAACTTGCCTTCTTGGGGGCTTCTTATTTAAGGTTTCTTTACATAACTCCTCAAAAAAACCTGATTTGTTGAATCTGCCTCCTGGAAAAGGAAGTTTTTGTTGGGGCCACAGCTAGCCTTAGGCTTGAGCACCTTGCGAGGCTGCGTCCTGAAGTTAATGGATCTTGCCGCGTGCTGTGAACCAGGAGCCAGGATAAGGGTTTAGGGGTTTAAGGTTTCGGGTCTACAGGGCTTAAGGATTCGGGGTTTAGGGGCTTTAGGGTCTATGGGGTTTAAGGATGAGGGGTTTGGGGGCTTAAGGTTTAGGGTCTATGGGGTTTAAGGATGAGGGGTTTAGGGGTTAAATACGGTTTGGCGTCGAGACCTTTATTCATGTGGCTTTTCCTGCCACAAAGCTTGCGTCACCGTATTAAGTCAAAACCAGCCCACCCTGATGCTAAGCTTTTTCCCTACAGCCCAAATCCAGAACCCTATGTGCCGTGAGCCCAAAGCCGAAAACATCCCAAGATTCCAACCCCGCCCGAAAAGTAAAGACACTGTAAATCCTGGGACCTGCTGCGTCTTTGCGGGCAGCAGAAGCCTGCCTCTAGCGATGCATGGGCTGAGCAGCGGCCGTGAAACTCTTCGCTTTGGGGATGTTGGGGGCTTCATAAACGGGGCAATATCGGGGCATATATAGTTAGATCAATTTGGATTTTGAAGTATCTTATCAGGGACGATGAGGGAATACTACTATAAAAGGGTCCTTGTTTGATCAGGGGGCTTCTTAGGGCTTGTTGAGGTTTACTTGGGTTTTGCGCCCTCGGCATTTCGGAGCTAAAGGTGCTGCTAGCCTTGGGAACTTCTGTCAAAGAGTCTTTGAGCCCTGCCTCCTCAACGGCCAAACCCAAATCCCTAAACCCTAAACTCCGAAACTCCAAACCTAGAACCTCCCTCCCCTTTTGTGAAGTCGTGAGCGCACGCCAAGCACACAGAAAAAGCCCACCCTTCCGGCGGTTATGGCAGGACTTCTGTCGGGTTTCTGCCCTATAAGCCCTAAGACCCTAAAACCCAGGCCGTAAAAATCCTACAAACCCTGTAAACCCAAACCTTAAATCCTAAGCCCTAAACCCTCTTACTCTTCGCTGAAAAGGCTTATTACAAGGGCTACCAATAAGGCTTGCTCTAAGGGCTCCCTTAAGAGGTCTCACTGGTAGGGGACTTCGTCAGCAAGGCTAAGTACCCTAGTTGGGGTTGTAATCTTCATGTTTGTAAGCATGTGTATACTCCTACTTAAGTAGTCCCCTGATCCCTTGGGTAAAGGCTGTAGGGCTTGGGTTTTAGGGCTAACCATCAAGGCCTCTCTATACTGGGGATTCCGCGGTTGGGATCCCAACCTCCGATCAGCAAGAGCCCGAACAGACTTCGCAGAGTCTTCGAAGTGAGCATGCAGGCCAACTACGCTTGCTCTATATGACCAGTGGTTCTCTAAGCTAGGGTCCCCACCAGGATCCTTGGAAGAGTGACGATTCTTTTGGGGGCTACATAAACGGACCCGCATCGATGCGTGCACAGCTTGGACCGAAATGCACCCAAAGCCAAACGCCTAACCGCTCAATCCTCAACCCCCCACAACAGCCCCAAGAAGCCTTCAACCCCAAGCTCCAAAACCCTAAACCCTCAAAAAGAGTCTCGAAATCCCACAGCCATCAGCGGGAGTCATGGCCGCGCTATGTCGCGGACTTCGGAAACTCCCAGGCACTCATCTCGGGGGGGCTGAGTTTAGTCGGGTTTGAGGCTTGCTTTAAAGGGATCCGTTGGCCTTCAGTCCCTCAAAGCCGAAACCAACAACAGCAGTTTAGGGTTTAGGGATTAGGGTTTCAGCCGACATCAACAGCAG